AGAACTTATTTTTGTGTATTTGTATTTGCTTTTGTATCACACTGCCATGTTGCAATGCTGCTGCCTCTCAAATGTGTTCCTTATTAAGGATTAATAAATATGTAGGGGTTTAGAAAAATACCCCTCTCTGTCTGATTAAAGAGTTCTTTGCCTGATGCTGAAGGAATCTAGGTGAATTGTTAGTGTAGGACCCAACTAAGAGGTTTGCCTTGACGTGGCAAGGGAGCTTACTTCTAATGGCCATTGAAGTGGTACAAAAAAAATCTCCATTTATATAAATATGCATAGGGCTTGTGATAGTGCACAAGTAACTCTTTTCTTGCTTTCTATATATATATACGTGCTGGTGTGCAGATTTTTGTTTAACATTGTATTAACTATCCACAGACTTCAGGTGGAAGGGGTTTTCAAGCAAACCAGTAACCAACCTCATGCTGATGAGTTGCATTAACAACGAAACAGCTGTCCATGAGTGGTTCACTGGTTTTGCATCTTTTCCTAAATTGTGTTCCAAGCAGTTGTATACTGCAAACACAGATTAAAAGGAATCCATGTTTAAAATGGAATGAGGCAAAAATGTGATTCTTTGTTAAACTAATTTGCATATGCCCACCCAGAATCCTTTGCAGTTGTAACATCAATAAAAGCAGCGTACTTGTGATTGTGGAGTTACATTACCTATGTTATTTTATTTTTTCAGCGCATTGTCAAATGTTGAAATCAATATTTCTGCAAAGGTTCCTTGAAATTTTTTTTGCAATAATTTTTCCTTTTTCCAAAGTAACATTGTTATCTTTCCATTACTCTTTATTTGATTTTCACGGATAAATACGCCACATTATCACCTTATATAGCTATTCAATTTTGCATTACAGTTAATGTAATATCTTGTTTCACACTTCTGCCATGATGTATCGACTCCTTGTAGTAATAATGATAAATGATATTATTCTGTTATTTGCAGCTATCAACGATCCTCTATCTTAACCCTTTAAAAGAAAGGCAAGTAACAGCCTTTATATAGAATTATAGTATAGTCTTTGTACACTCTTTTCAAATTACTATTTTTTTCATTCTTTTTCTCTGTTCAAATTATTTTTATTCTTTTTACACTCTTATATTCTAGCGACAATGAATTAAACAAGAATATTTAACCAGACTTACTTTAAAATACTTAATGTTGATATTACATAATTTCTGTTCATAAGGTTGGTGCCATTCAGGGTTATGTATTTAGTCAATTAGATGCCAGTAAAAAAAAGGATACTGAACTTGGCTTGAGGTTCGGTATCCTGCACCTCCACTAACAGGTTCTCCAGAAAAGAACTTAGAAATTGTAGTGGAGGCTTGTGTAATTGATAACACAGTGGGATCTATGGTCCAAGTAATGCAAACTGACAGATTAGCTCTAATATGAAAACAGGAGAAAACACACCTAATTTGATCTGCTTTAAATATGTTGATGGCTTCAGCACCACGTGAGCATATGCTATTGTGTTTTCATACCCCACCTCCTCTAGATTTTAAGCACATTCAAACAAGGACCTCATTGACCTATTGTTAAAGTTAAAGGTAAAGTTGCTATACGCTGCAGAATAATTTGAAGCTAAATACATGTCATTAATCATAAGAATGTGTTGTGAGTCATCTCTCATATTTTTCATATAGTTACATAATTACATAGGCTGAAAAGAGACAGGTGTCCATCAAGTTCAGCCTTCCTTACATTTGTTATTGCTGTTGATCCAAAATAAGGCAAAAAACAGTTTGAAGCACTACCAATTTTGCAACAAAGTAGGAAAACATTCCTTCTTGACCCCAGACTGGCAGTCAGATTTATCCTTCGATCAATAAGCTATTACCCTGCAGTTGAAAAACAATATAATTGAATATTATGTTTTTGCAAGTATGCATCTAGTTGCTGTTTAAACATCTGTACAGACTCTGATAAAACCACTTCTTCAGGCAGAGAATTCCATATCCTTATTGTTCTTATGGTAAACAAACCTTTCCTTTGCCTTAGACTAAATCGTCTTTCTTCCAGTCTAAACGCATGGCCTCGTGTCCTATGTAAAGTCCGGTTTGTGAATAGATTTCCACACAATGGTTTGTATTGGCCCCGGATATATTTGTTTAATGTTATCATATCCCCTCTCAGGCGACGTTTTTCTAAACTAAAGAGGTTTAAATTTGTTCACCTTTCTTCATTGCTAAAATGTTCCATTCCTTTTATTATTTCTATAGCTCGCCTCTGCACTTTTTCTAGCACCATTATATCCTTCTTTAGAACAGGTGCCCAAAATTCGCCCAAAAATGTACCTTCCTATGATTTAATACTCTAGTTTGCATGTATACTAATTTCTTCTTATGCATTTTACAGAATTTAATGATCATTTATTTTTATTTTTACAATTGCTGTAGATGGATGGATGTGTGTGTATTATTGGCCAATTAATATACAGAATAACTGTATTCATTCTAAGCAACAGTATATCTGCTATTAAAATGGCCTCATAATAATCTACTTATAACCACCCACTGTATCCTGTACAAGCTTATTACACTATTAACCCTTTGAATGTGATAGGAAAAATTAGCTAATTGTAGCAAAATGTCACATATCCTTTAAAGAATTGGCTTGCTTGTTTCATTCCTCCCAGGACGGCAGTTTTTACTTTATTCTTAGTAAAAAATCGAAGAACTTGCATTGCTTGATTTTTAACTAGCAAGCACAGTGTGGCACATTATTACAGGTCTGAAAATGTGATTTATTTAGCGTCGTTCAGTGATTGCTTTATATCACATACTTTAAAATTCTTTCTACAGCAGTAAGGAGAATTTGCCATAAATGTTGAACTAATGTACATTTTTATGAGTTAATCTTACAACTGTATTAGTTCATTATGAGGCAAGAAAGGACATGTTCTTGTGATGACTGATAGCCAGTATATATAGATAATGTTTTCTGTGTGTAGATAACGTGTCCTGACAGTGACTTGATCTCAATGTTCTGACTATGCCTTCTCTATGTGAGCGCTCATTTGGATTCTTTACATTTCTGTTTATATCTAGGCATTGGTATTTCGCTTTTAATGATTGCTGTGTATGACTGTAACGTCAGTTTCATCATCTGTCTTCTCATTGTATTTAATGTAGTCCATCATTGTAGCGATGTCTAACTCTTAAACAGCAACCATCACTTCTCAGAAAATAGATTCTCCATTTTCTTTTAAATATATATATATATAAATACTAAAGATTTAGCAAATGACATCACAATCCAGTTCAGTCCTGGCATATCCATGGCACACATTGCACTAGGAGGTGTTTTGTCACTTTCACTCACCATGGCCTTGATTTATTACCCTTTCCAAATGATTCAATACGGTTAGAAAAACTTTACAAATGATTTATCGGCAAAAGTCGCCATTAATGTATATGGGAATTCTTGTAGATACAATATATGGAGAGCTTTTCAAACAGTAATGAATCATTTGGAAAGCGTATGTTCTGTTCTCTTAACTCATTATGTCTGCCTCTATGAAGATATTTGGTCCAAGCTGTGAGGAAGGTTTATTTGCCAATTGATAGGTGCAAAGGCAGTTTTTTTTTACTTAAAGTGGCTCTGTCATGCCAAACTTACCTTTCTCCTATTGTTTAATCTTCTCTTTCTCTCTCAGAACCTGTTCTTCTTTTCTTACCCAAAGGTTTTAGTAGTAGATTTAAGAAGATTCCTCTCAGTAATAGTAACAACCCCTGGATGTTGGGCTAAGGTAACATCCCCAGGACGTACTTGAAAACCAGAGTAATCTGAATGTACCTTTCCTGGTTAAATACTTTATTATTATCATCTTTCATTAAAAAAACCCCAAAATATACAATCTAAAGTAATAAAATAACTCAAATAGTATAATACTGTATATCACCATAAATAAATAATTATTGAACTCACAATAATTACAATTGATTGTAGGAACGTAGCAAGGCTTTAACGTGCATGACCTTATTTTCTCTTTCCTCTTGTTCAGTGCATAGTGGGAAAGGAAAGAGGCAAACACATAGTGTAACAATATGAAAGCAATGAACAGCTTTATTAAAATTGCACTCACAGAAAAAAAAGCCCAAGTTACGCACATCAATAGCTCACTACTCCTGGACCAGGACATGTGTAAAGAAAGTAATTAAAAATGTCCACCCAGCCTCCCTACCTGGAGTGCTGGCGAGGACTTGTCCCTGGGGTCCAGTGGGACGGGCGCCTGTCTCCTTCTCAGCCGCGGCGAGGGAGCTGTGTGCTCTCTGCTTCCTCTCGCTGCGCGGGCTGTCTGCAGTAGCTGGGAGCCGGAATATGACGTCATATTCCGGTTCCTGGCATCAGCAAACGGCGCCCGGCGAGAGGAAGCAGAGCGCACACAGCTCCCTCGCCGCGGCTGAGATGGAGAGGGGGGGTACCATCACCTCTTGACCCTCCCCATGACAGGGGCAACACAGGGGGAGGAAGGGGGGCATTTGGGGGCTCTGAGTGCTTGCAGGAACAGCGTTCCTGCTCAAAAAAAATGCAGGAACACTGTTCCTGCAGGACTCAATCCATAGGCATGCCGCGGGGATTAGGCACACCCGGCACACCCCGTGCGCACGCCTATGGTACTAGATTGGAGGTTATAGGAGGTGGGAACACCTGGGGAGAGCTTCCCAGAAATGCTCTTATGCACAAGGCTGGAAAGATGAAGAGTGCGTCGAGATTCCAGCAACAGCCAGTTTAGCTCTTTTAACATGTCACAGTGGTGGGTAAAGTAATTACATTCTAGTACAAAGCGGCAGAACAAATTATTTAACGTATTCAGTTTATTAAGGTGGGTTTGCGGTGCAGCCCTGCTTTCCCCTCCTTTGGACTGGAGGTGGTTATGCCAGTCCCCATCCAGGAGGCTCCATTCTTACTCCGGGGAGATGTGGTACTGCCGCATGCAGCAAAATTGACACACATGGTGCACCTAAAATGGCGGATGCTGCACGCCTCACTCAACTATGGAGAAGTCATATCCAGAACAATGCCCAAGCTGGACAAAATCTTTAACGACTTCTGGAAGAAGTCAAGCAATCTGTACCTGCCCAACAAGCCTCGCGAGTTCACTCGCCTGAGGGCCCTCCCCGACGACTTCAGATCCAGCCCTTAGTGCTGGGCTCTGGAGGGTGCCCTTAAGGCAGAAAAGGCCGCATCAGTGGCTCCTGAAATGTGAGGTGCACAGGCCTACATTGCAGCTAGGCACCTACAAGGCAAGTGGAGGGAGTTCCAGACAGTATCATTTAAGGAGGGTAGAGCGGAAAGAGTCAAGAGAGATGCCCTATGACCTATGCACTGCAACGCCAACACCTCAACGCCACAAAGCTTCTCTATTCAACCAGTTCTCTGGGACTGCATCATGCCCTTGGCAGGCATAGGCTGAATTAATGGACATTCCGCTCATTCTCCCATCACGCCTAGCTGGGAAAAATCTTGATGGAGTTATGGTGCCCTTGCTCCTTAGTTTAATTGTATGTTGTCCCTAGTCCCTTTCTTCCCTTTTAAAAGTTTTATTTCTCCAAGCATTTTATGTCCCATTGTGTTCTGGACGTTGAATTTACCTCGTGGAGCTATCTAGGGTAGCAAATTTAGTTCCTATGTTTACCCAGCATGTATGAGCAATTCAATACCATAAAATTGTGCAGCACCATCTAAGTACCAAGCAAAGTAAAGCTACCCACTCTATTTGACATTATGCTAAATGTTTTCTTATATTCACCGATACTCTTGTCTTTGCTGATATGGCACTGCAAGATTCAGGGCCGGACTGGCCCACCGGGATACTGGGAAATTTCCCGGTGGGCCGCGGCACCTGGGGCCGGTCTGACAGCCCTAATCATTGGGCTGACAGCTCCGGCCGCACAGAGCCCCATGGGAGCAGGGGGAGCCGGCCGGCACAGCTCACACACGGCCGGCCGGGATCATTAAAAAAAATAAAATTGTGGCGGGGGCGGAGCTTAGTGCGACGGGGGCGGGGCTAACTGGGCTTAGCGTGCGGCGGGGGCCTGGCTGACTGCTGCATGGGAAGCAGGTAGGAGTCCCTGCTTCCCCAACAACCAGCCTCCAGGAGCTGCAAGCAGGAGGGAAGAAGGAGGTCAGTGTGTGAGTGTGAGTGTGTGACTATCTGTGTGTGACTGTCTCTGTCTCTATGTGAGTGTGTGACTGTCTCTGTGTGAGTGTGTGACTGTCTCTGTGTGTCTGCCTGTGAGTGTGTGACTGTCTCTGTGTGACTGCCTGTGAGTGTGTGACTGTCTCTGTGTGACTGCCTGTGAGTGTGTGACTGTCTCTGTGTGTGACTGCCTGCCTGAGTGTGTGACTGCCTGTGTGAGTGTGTGACTGTCTGTGTGTGACTGTGTGAGTGTGTGACTGTCTGTGTGAGTGTGTGACTGTCTGTGTGAGTGTGTGACTGTCTGTGTGTGACTGTGTGTGACTGCCTGTGAGTGTGTGACTGTCTGTGAGTGTGTGACTGTGTGTGTGTGTGACTGTGTGTGTGTGTGACTGTCTGCCTGTGTGTGAGTGTGTGGCTGTCTGCCTGTCTTTGTATGTGTGGGTGTTTGCCTCGGTGTCAATGACTGTCTGCCTGTGTGTGTGTGGCTGTCTGCCTGGGTGTCAGTGACTGTCTGCCTGTGTGTGTGTGGCTGTCTGCCTGGGTGTCAGTGACTGTCTACCTCTGTGTGTGTGTGTGCACACATCTGCTAGTGAGGGAGCCTGTGTGTGTGTGTGTGTGTGTGTGCCTGCTAGTGAGTGAGCTTGTATGTGTGTCAGTGAGCTTGTCTGTAGGGATCATATGTGTGTGTGTGTTAGTGAGCTTGTCTGTAAGGAGCATGGGTGTGTCGGAGCCTGTCTGTGGTGAGCATGTGTGTACAGTGAGCTTGTCTGTAGTAAGCATGAGTGTGCAGCCAACTATTTCAATTGCCTATATATATATATATATATATATATATAGGCAATTGAAATAGTTGGCTGCACTCTCGGATTTCCTGAAAATGTAACTTTTATTGAAATATTTAAGAGAAGATCAACGTTTCAGTCCCTCTTGTGGACTTTTGTCATGATCCTGACGAAAGTCCACAAGAGGGACTGAAACATTGATCTTCTCTTAAATATTTCAATAAAAGTTACATTTTCAGGAAATCCGAGAGTGCAGCCAACTATTTCAATTGCCTATATATATATATATATATATATATATATATATATATATACACCCTCCTACATAGCACAATGACTTATGGGGCTGGCATAGATTTTTTTCCAGGGCTGCTTCGTATCCCCAGTCCGGCCCTGGCAAGATTCCTTGTATTCTTCTGCACAAAATATATAAAGAATAAAAAAAAAATGTTATACGGATTCCGTGGACTGAGAAGTAAGAGGAGGCATAACTGCTGCTTGTAAGGGGTTGGGTATTTAGCTATACAATGTTGCAAACAAGGGACCAAATAAAAAGGGAAGGGAAGGGAGAGAACAAGTAGTAAAGGAGTGTAAGGCTATGTGCTCTTTCCCACCCACTTGATTCAAGTGCGTCGGCTTGGGGAGTCGCAACCTGCTAGGGCTGATGACGCAAGGCAGGCTGTCTAGGACTCTGGAAATGAAGGAATGATCTGTCCGTTGGGCATTCACCCCAACAACTGACAGGTGGAAGGAATGATTGCATGCTTGAATGGTAAAATAAAGCTGGCATAAGGGTTTTTGTCTGGGTCAACAGTCATGCATAAAAGTGGCAATTGTTATATCTAAATCAGTTAAGGCACTGCAGAAAGCTATGGTCTAACGAGTCCTTTTATATGACACTCGCATGGATCCATTTATTCTTTCAACAGACAGGAGAACAAAGTTGGCTTATTTCCTGTGATACACGTAAACATATATTAATAAAGAAATGAACTCACAACAATAGGTCAAGCAATCATATAGCACATATGCCTTAATCTAAATACTGAGCTAATCAGAATGTTTAGCTTTTGTACTACAACATCACCTTGCCTTGACCTGTCACAAAAAAACTGAGAGGCTTGTTAAATATAACCAGTAGCTGTTCTTTCCCCTCTGGGCGTTCTTAAATGAATATGTAATTTAGTCATTAGATACGACTGTCTAACAGTTTAAAGCACTTAGAGTAGCATCAATTCCTTGCCCAGGGAAAAAGGAAGGGTAGGTGAATTATGAGACGCTCATTTATGAGTGAGACAGGTGTCAGATGGTTACAGCTTCTGTTTATTGCGTTGTAGGCACCTTTAGTAATGGATCTTACTTTGGCGCAGGGAATACGTTTGCAGACGAAAAAAAACATGGAATGTACTTATATTGGCAAATTGATGTATCGAATATCATTTTGTAGAACAACATATTAACTAGTCTGGTATAAAGATGACTCTCTATTTAAGACTGTTTTTCACCCATTCTTAATGAATGATACATTAAATTTTAAATCAGCCCTATTATCAATTAGATGATATCATCCAAAAGGTGTCATAAAGCCATTTCAAGGGATTATATTTCTGCAGCTTCCAAAAGCTCAGCTTTTTTTTTTATTGTAGGCAACGAGCAAAAGAAAAACACGCACAAGAAACATGTACAACAAAAATTATTACTGAAATGTTTCCAGTCCAATCACAGCATACGTCATATCATTACTAATATACTATTAGAAGGCATTGGTTTAGCACTTAATATATTTACCTTGTATTATTATACTATCTGTAAAGGGGATCTCTCTGATCAGTGAAGGGAGTGGGGGTAGGTTAAAGGTATATTTGCCTGAACGATGAAGGGGACTATTAAAATTGTTTATATTCTGCTTGATCAGAAAACTGTGCTTACAACAAAAGCAACGCACAATATAACAAATATTTTTTTATTTTGGATTACAGAATAAAATTCCCTTGTCACTTCTCCCAAATTTCCACTTTAGCATGCAGACCCCGAAGAGAAAGACAAGTGAAAGATATACTTGTTTTTTAGAAGACCATGTAATAATAAAACATGTTATTTCTTGCATCCAGCTAACTCCCTTGATACCTCTCTCGATAGACTGTAACTATACTGAATTCTCTTCTGCAGTAAACAATTGGGCCAGATCAAGAGTATTAATAAAAACACGATATTCCCAGAGGAACAAGAACTGCCCTTCTAGAAATCCAAGATGAATATCAGGCAGAAACTATGCTATCATTGAGCGATCTGAAGATGAATTTTGCGCATTACTGGAACAAGTTTTAACTTCTTTGTTTTCCCTATTTTGTCAGCCCATTGGACAGTGTTTCATTTCATACTACAGATCCCGCACTGATCAATAAGCAATTATTTTTTTTTTGTATCGCTGTAGCTACATAATCTTTAAAACAGACATTGAAATATAGATATACCTCTGCCTTTATTGATGGGATAGTAAAACATTCTAAATCTAATGTTCTGTATGTAGCTGTACAAATTCTATAAATCATTTGTTAAAATATACAAAGATTGGATGTTTACAAAGCAAAGCAAAAACATATTCAATGGGCAAAAGGGATTAAACAATTTTTGATGTGTAACCTATTCAATACCAAAGTAGAGTATAAATGGTTTTAATTTTTATGTATTTTGCGGTATGAAATAGAGTCTAGAAAAGCCTCACTCACCCTCATTTATAACCTAGTTCTGATTGCCAGTTTGCAGAGGAACAAATTTCTGTGCCAGAATCCACTAGTCTCTGGTATAATGAATGTAAAGATGGTGAAAATGTCAGCTCAATCTCTGCTTCCAAATAGTACAGGAAGCTTCAATGGGTTATACCATTCCTACAGTCAGGGAGAGGAGAAGTGAATGGATTCTAGCATTTCACTGATATAATTACATTAACACTGATATTATTATATTATTACGTGCTATGTATCCTTACTTCAAATAAATGTTATCCTAATATATTTCAATCAAAGGGTGCTCCGTAGTGAAGGTTGGTTGTTTTTGTGTATGAGGAGGTACAAATTAATGTACCAAAATAGTCTAAAACTGTCCTAAGAGTAGCACAATTATGTAAAAATGTGTTTAATGTTAATCATCTAGTAAACGTTTGTCCTAGATTAAATAATAGTACTAGCAAAATGTGTAGATTTTGTTATTTCTATATTATGTGGCTGCTCCTAACGCCTTCAATGATAATCTAGTACGCATTCAATGCACCAATCAGATGTTCTCTATAAGATCATGAGACCATCTGATTAAAATAGCGCTTTAGCGAGTTTTACTTCGGCTGTTTCTGCTGAAACGCCTCTAGTGATGGTCAGCATGACAGCCACTAGAGGCACTTAAACTCTGCAATGTAGACATTGCTTTAGACACTTGCAGGGTTAAAATGAGGGGAACATGGCACCCAAACTACTTCATTGAGCTGAAGTGGTCTGGCTGCCTATAGTGTCCCTTTAAGGGTTGGTAATGCACAATACATTTTGCGATGCCTATGTGCACAATCGACTTATACACTGATCAGCCACAACATTAAAACCACTGACAGGTAAAGTGAATAACATTGATTATATGGTTACAATGCACCTGACAAGGGGTGGGATATCTGAGGCAGCAAGTGAACAGTCAGTTCTTCAAATTCATCTGTTGGAAGCAGGAAAAATAGGCAAGCATAAAATCTGCGTGACTTTGACAAGGGTCAAATAGTGATGGCTAGGCAACTGGGTCAGAGCATCTCCAAAACAGCAAGTTTGGTGGGGTGTTCCCGGTACGCACTGTTTAGCACCTACCAAAAGTGGTGCAAGGAAGGACAAACGGTTAACCAGCACCAAGGTCATGGTCACCCAAGACTCATTGATGCACATGGGTTGCGAAAGCTAGTCCATCTGATCCAATCATTGCTCAAAAACTTAATGCTGGCCACGCTAGAAAGGTGTCAGAACACACAGTGTTGCTGCATATGGGCTTGGAGTCAGACCAGTCAGAATGCCTATGATGACTCCTGTCCACCACCAGTTATCACGTAGGACCAATAAGTTAGACAGGATCTCTAGAACCCTAAATTTTCCTGGGCCATTTAACATCCCTATGTGAAGAATGGAGAGCTTGAAGCCAACAATCTACCTTTGTTCCTGTGGGATCTTATTTGTTCTCTGGAATTCAATTTCACTTAAAGTCCCGGCAGTTTTTACAGCTCATTAATCACTCTCTATGTATTATTGAATAAGGAGATTATTTTCACTATCTGCTGGTTTATTTTTAATTTGTTTACTCCCTTGTAGAGTTAAATGCCCCTTCTGGAGTCCCAGAGATAGGTTACTACTAATTACATAGATACATTAATAAAATCACAGGTTTCTTAAAGAAACATGATAACATTACATCAATATATTCACCAGGAAACAGATGTTTTTGCTGCGCTTTAAATCCCAGCAGAGCACACTTTAATATTATCTATTCCTGCGTATGGTCAGTAGACACACATAGACAGTAATGCAAACTTCGATAAGCTCTGGCTTATTGATAGGAAAAGAGATTCATTGTTCGATAATCCACCATTCCTGGGAGGGCATAGTCAGTGGACAATCAATCTAAGCAGATAATCATATTGTAAGATCTTTTGAAGATTGTTTATCTATTGTGAAGTTGGATAATGCAGGATAATGCAAATTAAGAAAATGGAGTGGAGACTATATTTAGCGATTTGCTGTTCCTTCAATCAACAGAATGGCTGAGGCTCTTATTCAAAGCATAACGTTCACTCTGTTTCTTCAAAGTATTTATTTTTATAAAAGCAAAAAAAAAAAACACATATAACCCATCAAAGAAGCAGTGGAAAAGAAAAATACACAGAAATAAAGTGAAACAATCTTATGCATTTTGAGTAGGAGATTTAATCATAGGCATACGGGAAATAGGTCAAACTGGACTAAAATGTACTTCTCAATTAATTACACTAATTAAACAGCACAACCATTAGCGAAGAGGTCTATGTTGGAGGTTTGTCAGATCTAACTACTCTATTACTGCATATTTAATCTCAACCACTCTGATCTTATATGAAAACAGTCACATATTAATACATGTATTCAAATTACTTTCATCTTTACCATTACCTTTATTAAGTAATTTATGTGCATATTTCTATATTCAGAACAAACAGAATATACATTACTGCAACCTATTTTAAGAAAACCACATCATTAGTTTTGCTTTCCTTATTAAATGTTCTATGAGATGGTGACAGCGTCTTTTTAACTTGCTCCTATACAGGATAATAAAGTATTTATGGTTGTTTTGTGAGCTGTGCATTGGAGATAAGCATAAGTTACTCTTAACATCACTGAGCGACTGGGAAATTGGTGCCGCCTTGTTCCCAAGATGCTAACTTAAAGCACTAATTTGAGTGCCATGCATTGTAGTGCTATGATTTCCTATGCTCAGAGACTCACTTTCAAATTTGCATCTTGTGCCAGATCATGCCAGCCTTCACAGACACAGATTGATAAAGACCTGGTTACAGGTCGAAATGTTGTGGTGCTCATTAAAGCTGCTTGACTTATCACAGTGAGTGCCTGAGATTTTTTCCTTGATACATGTTCTATGGGGTATGCTGACCCATACTCAGTCAGCACCCTGTTATTTTTAGGATTGAGGGCAGCACTCTTTTCTTTTTTGGAGCTTTGTAATTGCTGTGAGTTCAGATCATTATAATTATTTTTTTTTTAAATAAATATCAAAGCACAACTGTACCCACAAGCTATAAACGATTCTGACAGATGCAATACCAGGCTGTTAACTATTTTTTTTTAAACGTCTTTAGCTCGCTTGTTCAAATCCCAAAATTTTGCTTAAATTATATGCAGCTTTTAGACTCATCTGAAGTGCTCTCTAATCTACTCAAGTGCCTTATTTCTTCATACATATACTTACCAGTTTATTCCTGAAGTCTTACACCCTGCAAGTAAACCTTCTTACCTGTTATTTTGTTTTTATTTTCTTTATCTATGGCAACAGAATTTATGCCATTTTCATTTGTACACCTCTGAATTTATATCACCACCGATGCAAGAGACTTTTGTATCTCGGAAAGCTGTGCAGCTGTGCGGTGTATGTAGAAATAAGCAGGTAAGTACATTACAAGTTGTGGAGGCTGCAGGTGAAATAGGATAAGGCAAGATAATGTCAGACTGTTATAGGGAAACTACCCTGAAATTAGATACATTTTAATAAAACAATGTGTTTTTTTTAGCCACAGACCAAGCAAGACGTGTGATACATGGGCTCCCACGACCGACACCCTACAAAAGGCATAACACCCGAGCCAATAACTTGCCCGACCGCAGAGCACAATCAAGCTTGTTCCCGACACACCGGTGATGCTCGTGATACCTCCCTGGAACTTCTCCGCCACTGGAAACTCTACCTCGAGGCTCTGCGGCCTATCAGTGACCGGGCGGGGGAGAGGCGGCCGCTCTCCTACTGCTTTGCCTGGCGGTAAGATGCTCAAACAAGGACTGGCGGGGGTCATCCCTGTCCCCACTGGCTAGCGAAGCAAACTCACGCTATACCCGAAAGGCCGATATCTGCCACACGGAGATTCCGGCTAATGCACCCAAGATGGCGGACGAGTTCCCTGAGCAGGGGCAAGTGCTGCATGGGCAGAAGCTGTTACAGTTAAATTCCACCGATGACATACTGCAACGAATAGACAGGGCATTTAAGAGATTCTGGCAGCAACTTAAAGCTAAAACGCTGCCCTCACAGCCCAAGCCACATCGGAGACTATGCATCGATGGGGACCTCGGAAACCCTGACCTCCTTGTGGGGAAATCAAAACAGAACAAGCATGAAACAAACCCGCAGGAGAGAGGGGCCACAAAGGCTGCTGCCACGATGCCCATGCTTCGGCAAAGGAAACCAGGGACCTGCATCAAGCACAAGGCAACCCGAGCCCCTCGCGGCACTAGGACGAAGATGGCATCGACCTCATATATGGCTCTGACCCACAGAACCTGGTGACAGACCCCCAAAAAGGCTGAAAAGATCATAGAGGACGCTCTGAGACACCTACCGTGAGCCACAAGACGCAGAGACTCTCCCTCGACACAGAACAGGGGCAGGGACTGCAGCTGCTGTACCCCACCGCTGCCCAGTGGACACTCCACAGATCCAGAGCATGTACAGCCACAGATGGGCATCGGTTAGCCACGATTGCAGAATAGGACTCGGCCATAGCCCTCCCTACATGCTAGGCCATACACAGCAGCACTAAGATGGATACAACACCTGGCTGAGCAGACACCCAGTGCAATTTCCATGCTTTATAGCATTATTTTGCTTTATTTTGCCTTAGTTTGCTTTATTTGTGAAACCCACACGGCAAAGAGCTACAGTTAGCCAAGGCTGTAATGCATGGAGTCCCATATACTCACTATCATACGCATAAAATTAAAGTCGAAGACCAGTGGTGCAAAACCTCCAGTGTTAACCCTAGCATGTTATACCATGTCTGTCTTCACTTTAACTTTACCTAGTTCCAACCTAGCATATACCATGCTCCAAGCAATACCTAACGTTTCTATAAACTTGCAATCACTCAGATCTTAAATTTAGGTCCAAAGTTAAGCCTGTTTTATTTTACCTATAAAAAAAGTGCAGTATACTCATATACCATGACACAATATCTTGAAGTATGTTCATATTATGATTATCACTACCGTCAGGGTATTACATGCATGTATGTCAACCGTTGCACAATAAAAATAAAGAATTTAAAAAAAACAACATTAAAAAAAATGGGTTTTTAGGCATTTATGATAAAGGACTACTTCAAATCCCTGTATGAGTCTGCATGTGCAGCTAAAGTTATGGAAGCGGTCTGTGTATGTTTATCTATGTGTATCTTTGGGTGGGTATATGTGTGTATGTCACTGTGAGTATGTATGTGTCAGTGTGATTATGTGTATCTGTGTGTGTCAGTGTGTATTTGTGTTACTGTGTGTGGCTGTAATTGTGTCTATGTGCATAGATCCCAGAAGGACCGGACTGTGGATGCAAAGCAGCCCTGAAAAAAAATGTATGTTGAATGGCCCAATAGTGTTTTTTTTTTTGTATTGCATGACCCAGGAGAATAGAGGCACCAGTTGCTGAAGATTCAAGAGGGAGACTCAGAACTTCCTCCGGCCTCCTGGCAGCCTAAATGGACCGCACCAGCACCTCCCTCCAGCCCCAGCCCCTCCCTCCCTTTTTTCCCTCAGACTAACACAGGCTGTTACAGTCCAAGGGAAAATTATTTAAATTACACATGAGGGCTTCCTGCCAGCCCCAGGTGCTGCGGCCCCCCTGGCAATTACCCTGGATCCCAGCATTCACATTTAAACATCAATCCTACATACAAACACAGCCCCTTCAATAAAACACCCACACTATATACAAACACGCTGTTGAAATCAAGCACCACCACTACATACCAACAAACTCTGTATTAAAATATCAACATTGTATACATGCACACCCCTGCATTCAAAAAACCAAAACTACACACAAGTACACCCCTTCATTCACACACGAACACTACATACAAACACATCCCTGCATTCAAACACAATACACAACTACACCACTGCTTTCAAGTGGTAACAGTAGAAACAAACACAACTGCACTCAAATGCCAACACTACACGTATACGCTATAAAAAAAACATGCTTGAATTCAAACATAGAAACAATGCCCACAAATAAAACCCTTCTGGGATGTGCAAATGGTAGATCCCTAGCTGGCAATTTAAAACTTTGGCATAGATTTTAACTTGTGGGAGATGTATGTCAGATGTGAATCTACATTTTGGACAACCTTGCAGTCGGGGCTCCAAAACTTTTTTCTTGCACCAAGGTCCTGTCTACATTAATTCCACCACTGCTTCACATCCATAGATGTAATCACTTTGGTTAGGCCATTATAAGGTAAAAAAAATAAGTGTTGTAACAGGTGTTAGAGTAACTCTTTAGCGGGCTGGAGGCTATGGGAGCATCTGATATTTTAAGGTAGGTCATTCGGTAGAAGTCCATAGAAATGTTCTGTGGGTTGAGTAGTGGTCAAACAGAGGACAACTGAAGGTCCACTGGTGGAGTGGAGTAACAAAGGTGATATATAGTTGTGAGTGAGAGGTGATCTATATTTAATAGGAAGGTTACTGAGAACATTGAAACCAAGTGTGATCACTTATTGTACGCCTTGTTTATTTAAATGTAAAAAACAGATAAAATTAATATCATGTAATACCTTTTTTATTGGACTTACAGAATATTTTAATGACAAGCTTTCAGAGAACCTCACTTTCTCAAGTCTAAAGCATTTCTGAGCAAGACAAGACATAGAATTCAAAGTTCAGAAATGCTTTAGACTTGAGAAAGGGAGGTTCTGCTGAAAGCTTGTCATTAAAAATTTCTGTTAGTCCTATAAAAAAGTTATTACAAGATACAAATTTTATCTGTTTTTTACATCTACATCACTGGACTAATACGGCTACAATCTACTTGTTTATTTAATGTAGAGTGCTAGTGAATATGCTGGCCATTAAAATATAAAATTACATACGGCCAATAACCTTTTCTCTGCACATGTGGTTATTCTACACTTAATCATAATGTTCTGAATGCAGGGTTAATTCTGTTAACAGTCACTTTAAATATGCCTTGTGTGCTCTCCCTGTATGCCTCTCAATACCTCCATATCACACTGGGTTTTCACAGCATGAGCAACTGAAAATGGGATTGAGAGAACTGTTATCACACAGCAGCTCTGTGATCACAATGTATAATTATACTTGTCTGAATTGTCAGCAGTGGAAACAAGATGTGTGCAATTAAACGAGCTGATGTATGCTAGCTGGCAATCAGAGGTGGACTTTCTATAGGACAATTCTCCACAATCTCTTAGAGATACTGTCTCCACTATTTTGACAGAATGTCAAATCCATTATGTTAATTAATCATTGGAGTTTATCTGTTACTACAAGTTAAAATCTATGCCAAAGTTTTAAATATCAAATCTTCGCAAAATAAACAGGTCTCTTAAATGTTAGTATTGTTTTAATTGTTCACATTTTAATATTGAGTCTATACCTGGTGTAGCTAAAATGTTTGTTGTGCGCTAAACATAAAAACATATATATATAGAATTACAATTTACTATATTGCTATAAAATCCAAGCATACATCAACCTTTTTAAATGAGTCATTATTTTTAGACTGACAGCCTGTAATGGTGCGACTCCTAGAAAGGAGTTTTAATAGGAGGCAGCTCTATATAAATTATAAGTTATATCACCTGTATCCTCAGTATATTTTTTTTAATTTGACGAATAAAGCTATTTTCCCTTTTTTTGGTATACTTTTCACGTGCTTTCTTTAGAGAGTAGAATTCAGGCTCATGAACCATGGCGATGTCACAGACTTTATGGTTTTCTTGAAATTTTTGTAAAATGAAAACAGTAGGCTGGAAAATTTCAGCACAAGGTACATTCGAAATGTTGACTGTGTCAGCTTCTCTTTTAATTTGAAACACAATTATAGATTGAATTCAGAAAGATAATGTATCTTTAAGAAACCAGATCTCTTAAATATGAATGTATATACCTTTGATTTGGTGCAGCTTGGTCGGAGTTGGAGAAGCTAGGAGAGACGATAGACAGGCTGAGTCTCTGCAACTTATATCAATTATGTCTCAATAAGAACTTTGTATCAAACGATAACAAAATATCTGATACAAAGTCGAAATTCTTAATTGTTAGTCCCTAGTGTTGGACCGTTTAAGTTTTAAGGCCCCTCATTTCTGGTAAAATAAATATAATATTAAAAAAGTTAAATTAACCCTTTGCTTTTGGCCTCTTCTAAACAGCCCGGTCGTCCTCCGCTAAGGTCAACAGACTTGATGATCAGTTTTACCAATCAAATGCTTTTTATTAAGAAGCATTGTGGACTTAATGCCCATGCTTTATATTGTCTTGTTAATGTGCATTATTAACGCACTAATCATAAGTTTCATATGAGTCAACAACCACGTCAGACTCTGTTGTCACTGCAGAAACACCATTTACTGGCTGTGAGAGAGACAGCTACTAGAGGTGTGTTAACCCCTGTAACGCAAACATTGTAATATCTCCAAAACGGCAATGTTTTACATTGTGGGAGAAAAGCGCCAGGGTCACTGCAACCAGACCAGTTCAGGTGAGATAATTATTGTGGTCCTTCAGGCAGCAGTTCTCGGAAAAGGCAGTGTTTCCACTGCTGTGCCTGCACATTACGCTATATGCCCTAGAAGCACTACCTTAAAACGTTTGCTCTTCTGGAATTCTGCCTTGCTAAACCTATCAAAACCTATTCCTGTAAATATAAGGAAAGCTCAGTCATTTTTCAGTCAACATTATTTGCCATTCTGAAGCTTTGCCTTTTATATCTCAACATTTCTAAAGGATATCATCTTATGACACTTCTGGATCATTTATCTGAATACAGTCAGGTCAAAAGTACCTTAAATATGATTTAAGAATTTCTTCCCAAGTTTAGCAGATTTTAAAGGACCATTAAAGTCACCCAGACCACTTTATCTCATTGAAGCGGTCGTGTCCTTTTAAACTTGCGTGTAGAAACTGCAATGCTTTCATTACAGGGTTAAATACACCTTTATTTCAATGCATACACATCAGTCTCCACGCTCATTGGATTGCATTTGATTGGCCATAGACTCATGAGCCAGATGACCTTGCAGACGGTAGATTAGCTGAGAATGACAATGGAGTTTTTGCACTGGTGTAAAGATAAGTAAAAATGTTTTTTCCAGGTTTTTACTGGAAATGGGGTAGGGGACCTAAATCAAATATGCAGAAAAGGCAGTATAGCAGCTATACCATTAGGAATGTAAGTTTGTATTCCAAATATCATAGTGTTCCTTTTTAGTGCCTTTCTATAATATGCTATTGCATATTGCAAGGGATAAAAAAGACATTATCAGTTTCTTG